CCCGACAAGAATTTCTTCTTTGATATCTGAAAAGGTATAAAAGTCCAGCAAGATTACTGACAATCCCCAGCAATCCGCCCCAGTCTCCCCAGTTCCACCAACTGCCTCACTCACTCAACATGTTCTTCACCGTCAAGTTCCAACTGCTCTTGCTGAGCGTTTCTGCGTGTTTCGTTGCCGCTGCTCCCGTCGACCAGCGTCAAGGACCCGTCGGTGCGCAAGCTGCACCCACGGTCAGGTCTTCGCCAGGGAGGACGGGTACGTCGTCTTGGCTTTCTTCTGCTCGCTCGTCGCCGACATCAGTAGCAGCCATGTTCTCGGTCTTGCTCCAACCGGCGCCCTTGCTGCTCGCCACCCCCAGGCCTCCATCATTTTCGCTGATGGCCAATGGGAGTAAGTCATCCGAAGATCGTGCTCGTTTCACCGTTGTTACCTTTCGCTAGAAGTCCCATTGCTCGGGCTGACCCGCCCTCGGTTACGACCATCTTCGCTGCCAGTCAGTGGGATGGCGCAGCCAAGGACCGGGAACAGTAGGCCACAAAATGACCCGGCGCTCCATAGCTTGAACGTCTGCAGGAGTTTTCTAGATTTCCGAAAGCACATAGATATTAGACTCGAATACAGTGGATTGAATCAGAGGTACTGCCGTTTGCATTGTTTCAGCTGGGGCTTGTCCTGAGTCACGCAGGGGCGCCGCCGAGGACCGCGCGAAGGACAGCCCGAATGGTCCCGTCTTCTTCGCCAATGCTCAATGGGAGGAGGAGTACGTCGTCGATCCTTCTGCAGTGGCGGTGGCGGCGAACTGACAAATGCACCCGCAGCGAACCTTGAGTGATCGGGGATCGGTTTTGGGTTCTCGGGATCTGTAAATTTATGATTCGCATATGCTCTTCTTTCTTTGGTTATCCGTACCACGTTATAGGGCTGTATAAATGCTCTTTCTATAGGGTTATTCCGGTCGATGTTCTGTATCCGACGCGTTTTGTGGTTATGATGCATCGAAAGGTTACCGGACGTGTGCACGCGGGCAAGCTGCTAAGTGGAGAGCGTCGGCTTTCTCACAATCCCGACCAGTCACCTGCTGCACAGCCATTCAAATACCATCACTCCAAGTACCCGACCAAAACACACTCATTACATACGATGGGCTCCCCTCTGCCTTATGTTTTGTTTGTAGGGATATGCGTCACAGTTCTCAAACAGTTCAACACTGTCGTCCCCGAACCTTATATGGTGCGTTCAGATGCAACTTCCTATCCTGCATCTCTCAATACGCTGGCACCGTCAGGATGAGCCATTCCATATCCCGCAGGCGCAGGCGTACTGCAATGGAGATTACTTGCACTGGGATCCCAAAATCACGACTCCCCCTGGTCTGTGAGTGCGCCACATCTACCATGACGCGTGCTCAAGTGCTGGCAGCTACGTCTCGAGTTTGATACTCAAACACGCGTTTATGCTGAAATGCAATGTCCCGATGTTGCGACTGACGACTCTGCTCCCTCTGATGGCACTTCCGGTTGTCGTATCTCGTCTTTTGGCCTACCATCAGCGTGGTCGGCTACCCAAAATCCTGGAACCCTCGTTCGATGCTCTCGTGCTGTCCTCATTCCCGATCGGATGGTTCTTCGGCTTCTTATACTACACGGAGGTTCCAAGCCTCCTGTTTGTCGTGGTGACCGTCGTACTTGCGATGCAGCAAAAGCATTGGCTGGCTGGATTCGTACGTCCCATCGTCACCGATACGCGTGCACGCTCACGAATGTGAAGCACGCTAGTTCGGCCTCGTCAGCTGCACATTCCGCCAAACCAATGTAGTCTGGGTATTGTATGCCTATGCAATGAGCCAACTCATGCATTTACGTTTCCGACGAGCAATGCCGAACGCGAAACCGCTCGAGAAATTACATGATCCACCGGCCCTCGATGCGGAACCAAGTGAATACATGTTTCCACCTACATCAGAAGCCGGTGTTTAACTATCTCGACAGGCGATTTAGTAAGGGCTTTTGTGTCTGCTCCCAAAGTTCTGCTCGATATCCTTCCTGCTTTCATACCTTACGGCTTTGTTCTCGCTTCGTTTGGCGCATTTGTGGTCTGGAATGGAGGCATAGTCCTGGGTGCGATCGCCAATCTCACTGTCAGGATAGAAACTCATTGATCATCTAGGAGACAAGTCTAACCACATTCCCACTTTGCATGTCCCTCAGCTCTACTATTTTGTGGCATTTGCTACAGCTTTTGGCTGGCCGGTACTTATTAGCGGTCAAGGCGGGCCTTCGGGCCTCGTTTTCGCTGTGAAGAATAGGATGTTCGGTTCTGGACTGTTTGTCATTCGCCGATTCCAAGACCACCTCACTGAAGACTTACTAGCCGCATTCTTTCAACGACTTTGTTAGTGCTTGCGATGGGCGTCACTGTGCATCTCTTCACGTACGTTCAGTTGTGTCAGTCCATGTCGTATTTTGACTGTGTGCCAGAATCCATCACCCTTTCTTATTATCTGACAATCGACACTACACTTTTTATATCTGGCACCGAATCTACATGCGGTTTCCAGCTCCTTATCTGCTCATTCCGATCTATATTGCATGTGGATGGGCATGGTTTCTTCGTGTCGGTAAGCAGCCTGCTGTTGATCCTGCAGCCCTCTAGGAGAATGACCCTTGATCCTTAGGAGAGAAACAAACAATTCTTCAAACACTGCTTCTCCCTCTACTAGTTATCCCGACTTTGCTTCCCACCCCGCTTCTAGAGCCGAGATACTTTCTGATTCCGTATATCCTTTTGCGAGCCCAGGTTGCGGAAACTCCGACCTGGGCACTGGCGCTCGAGGGAATCTGGTATGCTGGAATCAACGCGGCTACAATGTGGGTATTCCTTTACATGCCACGGGAGGGAGTGGGCCGTTTCATGTGGTAGAATCTGTACATCGAGTAAATCTGCCATCATGTAAACAACGACAAAGTTGCTGGTTCATTTCAGCAAGGGCTTTCACCACCCTCCAAGCAGGCAGCAGCTCTTGCCTACATCCCTTCTAACGCCCATTGACTGGGCGTCATTAGCGGACACGCTCTCCCATTTTCCGCTTCTTCCCACCTCCGTTCTCATTCTCCACTCCAATTTTGCACATCATGCCCAACGAAGGAACCCCATCCAAGCCTACGACTAGGAGCTCCATCCGGCATTCGTTCAGTCTAGCAGGGAAAGCGCTAGCAGATGTAATCAACAAGGACTCAGATAAGGGCAAGAAGCATTCAAAGGATGCCAGCTTGCGGCGCACCAGCGGAGTGGAAACCAAAGCGGTCGCACCCCGCGCGTCTTTAGGCGATGTTCGCCCCTCGTCCATATCCTCTCGCCGAGCCATGACCCCGGACTCTAAAACCGCAACGCGTCGTCGACAATCTGTTATCATTGCGGGGAAATTGTCCTTGGACGAGCCACCGTCGAAAGCCGTTGAAGCCACTTTGCAAGGCGCGGGTGTTACTCGATCAGCTTCGCTTCGGCCTCGTCCTGGAGTCTCTGCGCTTCCCAAATATCGCCCAAAGTCCATCGTGGGGGAGCCTCTGAAGTCACATTCGCCAGCACGAGTTGGTGTGCGCCGCCGGCTTAGCACTTCCGACGAAGACGAGAAGGAGCAGCAGACGCCGCAGCAGCAGACAAAGGAAAGCCCGGAGGAAAAGCGCAGAAGGCCAATCAGCCCACTCCCTCACCGGGCAGCTTTGAAGGCCAGTTCAGTGAGCACCAACTCCCCGTCCGGGGTCACTCCTCCAAAAGTAAAGCCAGGAACCCCAGTGTCGATCGGCAAGGCCAAAGGCTCTCCTGTTCGACCCACGAAAAGTGTGAAAACTGGGGCTTCTTCGCAGCCAACCGCCCCACGACCTTCATCCTCCGCTTCGTCTTCTAGCTCGTTTACTCCGCACACTCCGAAAGGTTCAACTCCCGCTCTTAAATCGAGTATCGCGGCCCGCCGGGCCGACAAACCGTCGGCCAGCCCGCTCAGCCAGTCACCCAAGCGTGGCCAAACGGAGTCGCCGTTCGCGAGACAGACGGAATCCCCCCTGGCTCGCCACTCACGCAATGCCTCGCAACGGACTGTTCCTTCAGAATCGAGCGACGTCGGAAACATGTCCCATATCTCGGAAGGAGGCAGCGAAGATGATGACAGCGACTCGGAAGAGGTTGAGCTGTTGCTGGCTCCTGTCGCTGTCCTCGGCGCACCGACACCTGCCATGCCGAGACACATCACAACACGGCGAAAGTCGCGCGCTGCTCCTCCCCAGACACCGACACGTTCTCAGCTTCCAACGCGAGCTAATCTGTCGTACCTATCCCCGTTGCCGCCGGACAAGGACTTTTCGCCTTCGCTTCGGCCTGACAGCAAAGGTGGTGCCAGTGCCGGACGGGGGTCTATCCTTTCCTGGGACCAGCTTGCTAGCGAGTCATCTCGAACCTTGGGAGAGGACGAAATTGCCAGCATGCTCGCCGACATCCCTGCTCCGTTCCGCAGTGGCGCTATGACACCAAATCACCTCGAGGTCCCCGAGAGCCCGGCTCTCAGCGCGTTGAATTCGCCAGGCGAGTTTGGGTCTATCTCGCAGATCCTGCTCCCCGAGGTGACGCCGTCGCCTGCTGTGCGAGACGGCATGCGCTTCAACAAGGATCCGAGCGCGCCTGCAGTCGACAGCGCGACTATCACACTTCTTCGGCTGCAGATCGTCTCGCTGGAAAGCACCGGCAAAGAGCGACTATTCCAGATGCAAGCTCTGGAGCAGCAGCTGCACGACTCGAAGCAAGCACGTGCTCGCGATGTTCAAGAGATGCAGACGCAGCTGGCGGTGCTCGAGGAACAACTTCGAAGCAGTCTGATGCAGCGGGAACGAGCCGATGAAGACCGTGCTGCCTATGTTCGGTCGTTGGAAGAGCAGTTGGCCCATGCAGATGCTGCGAGGGAGCAAGCTATCGACGACGTGGCTGCTGATACTCGTGCTGATGTCGAGGCTGAGGCTGAGGCGACGTTCAGAGTCCAGTACGCCAAAGCATCTGCTGTGTCTTCAGCCCGGGCCGCCGCCATGCAATGGGCTTTCGTCAGGGATTTTGCCGAAGACGAGTTGGATGCAATCCAAGGAGACAAGCTAGTCCTTGCTTCCCTGTTGAGTGGTCTCGACCAGCTTCAGGCTAAGCTAAGGGACTGATCTCCTTCACGGACGGTCAGTCGCCCTTGACGCATTATTATCGAAGCTGATCACTGCTATAGATTTTTCATGCATCTGCTATGTTTGTATACTATTATGCCACTTGTATTTACACTGTATAACATCTCATCCGGAGCCTCCACTGGCAACTGAATCAATCCCATTCGTTTTCTCTAGCATGAATGGATGCCTCTGATCAGTCAAGTTCAAACTCAGCAACACTTGATCTAAGCCTTAGCACGTCTTCCAATTATGATACAATGGATTCAGGAGTCCCCTGTATAGAACTCTTGAGCGCACATGACGCTCAGGCCGTACATACAGTGGTGGATGGTCATACCCTTGTATACACTGACAACCGCATATATCTTCCTCAAGCATAGTACATCACTGATATGATGGCTAAGCACTTGTTGCCCTTGAATTTGACCCCCTCGGGGTGTCATACGAAAAATTGGAACGATACAGAGAAGATTAGCATGGCCCCTGCACAAGGATGACACGCTTTTCCGGAGTGGTAGATCTACGGATCTCAATATTTTTCCCTCGTCCAAGAGAGCAGAGAAGTCGGAATATTTGCACCTGATATTGACATTGACGTCCTTCAATCACTCATCATCAACATCATTAATTGACTAACCACATTACGTCATCATCAATCCCACAATTCATCTCTCCAGCGCCCGAATGTTCGAACTCTAGGAACAACTGCTCATGTGTAGCGGTGAAACGCTGAGCTGCCCACGTTTTTGGGACGCCTAAAGGAGTAGTATGGGCTACGGTCATCATCAATCTCTTCATGATCTCGTCCACTAGTTCACCAGCACACCACCAGCGGCATAAATATTACCATGAGTTGACTCCGTTTATTAAAGTCATTACAAGGCTGTCAAGTAAATGCCTATCTCCATTCGAGTCCGTCCATGCAACTTGCTTCAATCAATTACATTGTCCTACAACTTTCCAACTTTTGGTCTGAATCATGCTGCTTGCTCAAAGAAGGATCGCAGCCAGCAATCCAGCTCCAATTGCCAACTCCTTCGACGGCACACCAGTCGGGAGCGCAGCGTTCGGCGCACTAGACGACGCCGCAGGGGCGCTGCTGGCAGCTGACGAGCCTGCAGGGGCTGTGGACGACGACACGACCGTGCTCACGCTCACGCTTGTGCTTGTACTAGCGGCCGAGGAACTCGAGGGCAGGGACTGCACACTCGAGAGGGGTGGGACGACAGTGGCACCCGACTGAGAAGAGGCGGCTGAGGTGGCTGCCGAAGCGGCGGACGAGGCTATGGAAGCGATGGTCGAGAGGATCGACAACGGGTCTGAGATGGAGCTGTGCATGTTCAAGGGCTGTCAGCGATGTACCCAAGGTGTGTATACGAGAAAGAGACGCACGGAACAGGGACATCCGACACCACAGTGGGGACAGCAGCCTGCACAGACGAGAGGGCACAGACGGTAGCGAGGACAACGGATGCAGGGGAGAATTTCATGGTGGATGTAGACGTGGGGGAATTAGAACTGGGGGTTGCTTCTGTGCACATGAACCTTTATATATACCGCGTGAGCCTGCACATGCCCGTGCATATCGCGTCACATATGAGATGGAGCACGAGTAGGGTGCTATTGGAGCGGACACTGCAACGCGCAGCAAAAGCGGTGGGGTAAATTGACACCGAACGCGGTGCAAGATCAGACTCGGATGGCTCCAATCCGTGATTGCGGGGTGCTTCTAGGACGTCCAGGAAACAGAGATGAAGGAAAATACAGTCATATGAATCATACAGTTATGAAACAAGAAAGACGAATAGAAACTACTGGTACAGATCCTGGACACCGATACATGCGTCCAACAAACAACCGTAATTCTCCGCGGCACTGGCCAGCTCCATTCGCTCAGAAACGGCATTGAAGATGAGGTCACGCCTGATGCTGAACTTAGCACTCCTGCGGTCAACGAATCTAAGAAAAACGCACTCGATGGCTCCATATGCCACTGTCACATCATGCTCTAGAAATTCGATAGAAATAGGCCACTGAGAAAAGGTCTTGACTGGAAAGATAAAGTCGATGTACGCCTTGGCTTTGGCAGCGGGGAATAAAACGGTCGTCCGTGCTTTGAAGCCATCTCCGTTCGCCAAAAACTCCACATCCACCGGATACTTGATTGTCAATTGGAACAACTGTGTCCGGACTTGCCCACAGGCAGACCAATAGTCAGATAGATTCCCCATGACCTGAACAGCATTAGACGAGATGTAACGATTATTGTTTTCATCCGAACATACTTGAGATGTGGTCTCCGCTCTGCTGCTGTGAATCCGACGATGTGCAGTCTCGAGGAAGTATCGGCTCAGTGATGGAAAGTCGTCCGGATACGATGTGGAATGCGGCAGTCTGGAGATCTGCACCTTCGAAGCAACCGGGACCAATTTGCGACAAGGAACCGTCACATGGAACTGAGCCGCATAGTCGTATTCAAACACATTCGAGGTCACTTTCGTTATGGAAATCATGTGCAGCTCCTGCATCGTCAAAACTTCCTCTGCGTGATGGTCAAGCTTCAATGTTGTCGTTAGGCTGGAAACGGCACCTTTGAGTCTGACCAGTTCTGCACGAGTGCTATTCCTCTGTAGATGTAGCATTCTGTTTGCATCGGCAATCGCACTTCGCGCTTGGCGCTGTTCTAGGTCCAACTCTTCGAGTCGCTCCTGAAGCCATTGCAATTGTGAATCGCTCTCGGCCAGCTCAGCTTGGAACGCCTCGACCTCAGCACTAAAAAGGAGCAGATAAGTAAGTTGCAGTCTCAATGGAAGGTTCGTGAACCCACTTCTGCTCGGCAACAGAGGCCTTGAGTTCAGCCAGATAGTCCTGGTCACTGTCTTCGATCTCTGCCACTTCGGCCTGCTCTTTCTCCAATTGCTTCATCACTCTCTCGTATTCCTGCTCGAGAGCTGGAAGAACTGTATCAGGGAGATCTTCCAATGTGGAGAGAGCGGCATTATCCTTTCAGAGGCATGAGGGATTTCGAGTAGCAACACAGAGGAACACTGACCTCATCCACGGCAGCCGAGCCCTTGTCAACCTCTGCCCTCAATCCTTGGATCCACTGCTGCTTCCAGTCGTACCACTCTTGTTTGGCTCGCCCTCGACAGTTGATGCGAATCAGGTTCAATTGGTGCTGTAAAGAAAAGAAAAGTCAGCCCCAACCCTTCTATCTCAAGCAGCAAGCGCACTAGCAGTTCGGTCTGGCCCTCTTCATCAGCCCGCAGATATTCCGTGAACAGCTCCGGTGCATATTTCGCCGCTTCTTCCTGTGCTTGGGAGAACAGAGTTTTGCTTTGCTCGATCCAAGCCGTCAGATCACTCGACACACTTGAGTACAGCGTCAGCTCGGGAACAGTTATCAACATCGCAATCGCGTATTCCGAAAGAAGGATCTCGGCAGTCGGTCGAGCCTGACGAACAGGTTGATGTGTCGATCGCCGAGGTCCTTCGATGTCGTCCATGAACTTGATGCCTGTAAGCTCAAAGAATTGCTCCAGTGAAAGATGTGGCTAGGGAACAAAGGTCAGCTGTCTTGCTGAAAGTCGGGGTAGTCGGTCACACCAGTTCAACTTCTTCGGGGGGCCCAGCTTCCTGGACTCTTTCTCTCCATTGCTCTGTAGGATCCGGTTGCGGATCATCCTCAGCTGGCGCGACCTCTTCAACAAAGGGCTCGAAACGAGCAATCCGCCGAGGAGAGCTTGGAGCGGGGGACCCTCTCGATGGAGTGGGGGACGCAGCTGCCTGTCGCTCAACCTCCCGGGCACAGCCTGCTGCATGCTCCGATTCTGGCGCTTGCTCCTTCTGCTTTCCTTTATCTACGACAGGCCTGGTCCAAGACACAGCCGGAGCCGAGCCCATGCTCGCTCTTCCCAAGCCTATTGCAGCCTTCTTCTTCGGCGACTTCGGCGGTCCAGCATGTTCTGTCGCGCCCGCACTGGAGAACACGGTCCCCACGCTTTTCCTTCGAGCGAAATATCCCGAAGGTCGCCGCAACGCGGATGGGCGCGCAGCGACGGGCGTCGTCGCTTTGTTGCTCGGTAGCTTGGTGGAGACCAGAAATGGCGCTTTCTTGCTCGGAGACAGTGGTTTCGGACGAGGAATGTCAGACTGCGCTGATTTCTTGCTGGGAGAAGGCGTCCGAACTACTGCTTGGCGCTTGGCTGGAGACACTTTCTCTGGGCTCCCCGGGTCTCGAGGCCGTTTCTGTAGTGAGATCGGAGCTAAACTGACGCGTCGAGTCCCTTCGATTTGCGCAGCAGGTTTCGGAGGAGGCGCGACTATCAGAGTGGGAGCCGATGTTGCAACTTTCGGAGAGGGCGGTCGGAAGATCGGCGGCCGGGAAGGTTGCTCGGACGCAGGTGGCGAAGAAGGAACAGCAACATTAGGGGCAGCACGAGCTGGAAGTGGCGTAGACGATTGGATCGGAGGTGGAATGATCGAACCGTAGATCTCCGACTCGTCCATGGTAGAGTCAGGCTGACCCATGCTCATTCGAAGCTCCGAGCCAGCAAAGCTGGGGCGACCCAGTACTCTGCTCAAATTCACAGTGCGATCCCCGCTATCCACATCCTCGAGACTGGCATCAGTGCTCGAAAACGTGTCATCTTGGAACTGGACTTGCGAAGGTCCCGCAAGGGCCCAGTCTCCATCTTGAGGACGGACAGGGACGTATTCATCGTCGGAAGCCGGGGACTCTTCATAAGGCGCATCGCCAGAGTGCGTCATCCTGCGCAGGGCCATCCAAGTCTCGTCCTCGTGCGCCGGTGGTCGCAAGGATCGGTTGAGGGGGATCGTGAACTCAGTGGGAGGTTCTTGTGAAGGTTCGGAGGCAAAAGATTGGGACTGGTCCTCCGCGAAAGACTGTGATTGGTCGGCATCAGTTGTGCCACTGCTCGCAGCAGGAGTTAGGGAGATCTGAGAAAGAGGGGTCCTGGAGCCGCCTAGAGAAAGTGCCCTCGTCTTGATGTAGTTGTCATCCAGCGCCTGTGTCATGTCCATGTCCATCGAATCGTCGTCGTCCATCACCATGTCCTCATCGTCGAAAGTAGACTCGTTCTCTTGTGAGAACTGGAAATTGACAGTCAATTCCATGTCTTCACTGCCAATCGACTGACGCATCGAGCTTCGGCGACGGTTCTTTGGTGCACCGCCCGGATACGCGTTCTCGTCACTGAGGACCACTGGGTCGCCTGGAGTAGGTTGTGGAGGATCTGAGGGCGCAACGGGAGAGGACTGTGGCGAAGCGGTACTGTTGGTGTTGTCGACATTTCGAGGATCAATGAGTCGCACATAAGCGTTGCTCGCGAAACTGACGCGACGCGCGAGAGACTTTCTGATATTCCCTTGAGACTGCCAGTCGGTCGTAAGATCCATAGACTCGGTGGCATTATTCTCGTCAGGTGAGGACGAGGGCTGGGTGGGTTGGGACGACTGGGGAGTAGTTTCGGATTCTTGTGACTGGGGCTGTGAGCCATCGAGAGGTAGGAGATTGATCGCGGTCGCTTTGAGGATACTCTTGCGAGGGGCCTGTTCCCAAGACATGAAGGGTTTATAACACAGTCGAAAGACAAACGCACAGCCAATCTACGGGCTTTCGCGCGAGGACTTAGTATGTCTCCAGGAACAATGCTGTGGGCACGTCGTTTAGCTTTGAAGACGCCAGACGGTCGGCTTTGTTGTGTTCCTGCGATAGACTTTCGTCTGCTAGGCTGATCCTTCACCATAATAAACAAGAAAGAGGGCTATAGAGCCCGGCGGGCTGAGATAAGTAGATTGAGGAGATGGGAGTTGTGACCAAAGGGTGCAAACAGTTTTCACGTGACCGTTCAACAAACGCGTCAAACGCGTTGCGGAAGCGTGACCAACTGTTTCCCGACACTCATGTCTACCAAACCTAAAATCGCGACACGCGCCTCGACTCGAACCAAGCCAACCCCGGCACCTCCGCCGCCAACTACGAGATCTACCAGGGCAACAACTTCCAAAGCTGCAACCCCAACTCCGCCTGCACCAGCGCCGAAGAGAACTGCGCGAAAGCCGCTGACGAGCAGAGATAATACCACAGATGCCTCTACGAGTGCATCTAAACTCTCAAAAACCGTTCTGCCACGCAAGGCGACGAAATCGATGGTAGAGGACGATGAACGTGAACCCATTACGGTGCGTCAACAACCCAGATACGGAAGGGTAACTCAATGTGACACAAGGCCTACTTGAGGATCCGACCACACGTCGGCGAAGACGAAACGGAGGTCTCGCCGTATCTCCTGACGTTGTCCGACACATCTGTCCGGATGACGGATCCCAACGAGCCCCAAACGGGAGTGAGATACAGAATGTCGACCATGACCCCATCTTCCACATACAAATTCTCCCATGTGTTCCCACCCGACATCTCCCAATCGGAATTCTTCACAAAGACCACTTTGCCGCTGGTTCGCGACGTGTTGCAGGGGCAGAATGGGCTGCTGTTCGCCTACGGTGTTACGAACTCGGGCAAGACTTATAGCGTTCAAGGCGGGGCAGAATCCGGATCTGCAGGAATTCTGCCGCGGAGTTTGGATGTTATATTCAACAGCATCGAGGGTTTACATGGCAGTGGCGAGGTACGAACACCTACGCTCAGACCTACTTTGCTCTTACACGTTTTAGTACCGTCCCGTCCGCTTACAAGGAGTTGAACCGTCCGACAAGAGCGACTCTATCCTCCCTTCAATCACACCTGGCCCTGAGCTTGCACAGGTCCTGGGGCAACACATGGATCCTTCGGCGACCGATGAGGACATCGATCCCACTGTTCTCACATTGGACCGCAACTACGAATATACGATCTGGTTGTCCTACGCGGAGGTGTACAACGAGAAGATCTATGACTTGCTGGACAATGTTCAGGATGACTCGACGGGCTCGATACCGCGTAGCAATAGTGGGAAATCGCTGCTGTTAACGCGAAAGGCATTGTCCATCAAGCCTTCGCCTCCATCCGACAACGTCGATTCCGGAATCTCGGGGAAATATATCTCCGGTCTGCGTCAATTTCGTGTACATAGTGCCGCACAAGCCAAATCGCTCGTGAAACTGGGGCAATTGCATCGCCGAGTTTTCGGTACTCTGGCCAACCGCGAAAGCAGTCGTAGTCACGGGATGGTCTTCATCAAAGTTGCGAAAGTCCATCGTGGAGAGAAGGATGTGAATCACAGACCTCGCATATCTTGAATACCGCTGACTTTTTTTTTTTTCAGGATCCATCTGCGATACAGATTACACGACTCACGCTAGTTGATCTGGCCGGTTCAGAACGTACCAAGCACACCCAGACGACCGGCGAGCGTCTCAAAGAAGCAGGGAACATCAACAAGTCACTGATGGTACTCGGACAATGCATGGAGGTTCTGAGAAGCAACCAACGCAAACTGGCCATGAGTCTGGCTTCAGAGGGAACGGACGGGCGCATGGATACTCGAGATGTCAAACGTGGACTCGCCATAGTACCCTTCCGTCACAGCAAGCTCACGGAAGTGCTCATGGATTACTTCGTTGGAGACGCCAGAGCCGTAAGTCACGTTCGAGGCCGGATTCACAGACCGAATATGGTTCTCTAGGTTATGATTGTGAATATCAACCCCTACGACACAGGCTACGACGAGAACTCTCATGTGATGAGATTCGCTGCGTTGGCTCGAGAGGTCTACGTTACCCCAGCACCGGCCCCAATCCAACGTCTCGCGAACAGCAAGACTGTGGGAGGCAAACAGTCACCAGCTCCTGAAAAGCCGCGCCGACGGGTGACTATCACGACCGGCAGCGGGAAGAAGGCAAGCGAGGCCGTGCTGGAAGTTTTGGAAGGTGTGTTGGAGATCTGCGGAAACGCTGACTTTGCTCACACACGCCCCCAGAGGATGAAGGTGACGCACTAGACAGCGACGATGATGAGCCCATCAACCCCCTAGTGGATGCCTTATTCGACGAGGTCGAGGCGCTGCGCATGCAGGCAAGTAGTATCAGTGAACACATCTCTGACTGTTCTCACCTCGCCCCAGCTCTTCGAATCAGAGATGCGGTGCGCCATCATTGAGGCCGAAGTTCGCGAAGAAGTCATGGCTGAAATGGAGGAACGGATGGAGAAAATGGAGAAAATATATGCCAAAAGACTGATGAAAGAGGTGCGTTTGACCCCCGCCGGCTCATTTCGTGTGTAGTAAGCAATTTCCAGGTTACTCAGAACGAGATTAAGACCGATGCCAAGATCGACATGCTGCACCAGTCGGGTCTGTTCGCCAGCCCCGTCAAACGTGCTGCTCCTCCACTGCCTGTTCCTCGGACTGATGACATGGCCGAAGAAGAGGACGTCGAGATGAGCTTGATCGAAGACGACGAGGATTCATCTGAAGACGACGATCTCGAACGGGACGGATCGGTCTCTCCTCTAGCAGGAAAGGGCACTCCACAAGTCATCCGACAAGTGCTGAAATTCGTGCCCGATCCTCCGATGCTACCCTCAGACACGGAGGACGCCGAGTTGACCGAGTCGGAACAAGCAACCGAAGACATGGAGGAGGAATCTGAAGCGGAGAGCGAGCTCGGATCTGACGTTGCTGAGAGTGAGGAGTCCGATGCGGACTACGAGGGAACCGAGGATGAGTCTGAGGATGAGCTTCTAATTTCGCCGGGCAAGACTCCTCGAGCCAAAGCTGCTCCAACTCGTGGATATAGCCCCACCCCTGCTTCGAGGAGACAATCGACCCAGGCTCCCAGAATATCCAAACTTGCTCAAGGGATGCAGGAACTCAAGCTTGAAGAGCCCAGCTCCAGTCAAGCGAGCACTTCTCAGAAAAAGAAGAAGAGGTACGTTTTGTCCATCACAATGTCATTCAAACAAATGACGGTGTCGCAGACAGCTCGGGACAGTGTCTATGGTGAACGTAGACGAGATCGAGCGCGTAGCTGCCAAAGAAGATACCGGAAAGCCTGTTAAACGAATGACCTCCCGTCGCTCCTGATACGATCTACGTCGTCAAGTAGATACTCATTTGACTGTCCTTGTACTACTTTTTCCATCACACCGCATACTTCAACAGTTTTTCCCACTCGAACTCGCTCGGCTTCTCGTGAAATTCCTTGACGAGAGTCTCCCTTTCACGGTGTTCTTTCCCAGCAGCCTCGTCCCACAAGTAGAAGTTCTGCACACTCATGGCCAGCCTGTGAGCGTCCTCCTGCGAGAGCATGAATCTCCCGTCCGAGCTAGCTCCGGCGGACTCGGCTGCAGCCGCCACAGGCGTGATCTCGCCTCTGAGCAGGACCGTTCCATGCGTCCGAGCGAGATCAGTGTAAAACGTCAGCACCAGGTACGGCGTCGCGAACGATCCGCGCATCTTGTATTCTTGCAGTGGCGTGAACATCACGGTGGAGATCGGAGGATTCGCCAGCGAAGGATCGGTCGGCTGGGGTTGGGGAGGGACGAAGAGATCTTCGTCCTGTGCCGACGGAATCCGCGGGGCATCGTGAAACGACCATTGGAGGAAGTACACTTCATGCGCAGTTGCTTCTTCGGCCGTTGCAGCCTCGCGGCGGACGGGGACTACAAACATAGGATAGCTACTTCCGGCCTTTGCCATCTTGGAGTACAAGTCCAGGGGGATAGACGCGCACACGAAACCGCGTCCAGTGCCATTTGATCGCGCAGCGTGATACACGGTCCATAGCGCGGAGATTTGTTCCGTGGTATGGGAGCCCGACAGGACGCGAGGGAGATTAAGCAGAGAGGACAGCGGCTGGATTTGATTCTGTGAAATTTTCGGCTAAGTTTCGATGCACGCTCACGCACCTTGATTGGAGAGCTGTCCTTGCGGCCGACCCCAGAACCATCTGCTGACTCCGGCTGTGCTTTGGCCTCAGCTTGAGCCTCGGCAGCGAGCTTCTCGCGCCTCTCTTTAGCTTGTCCAGCCTGGACCTGGTCCCTCAAATCGCCGACGCTCAGACCGCGCCTGAAGATGGGTCATTGGACACCATTTTCGGAATTGAGGGAAACGACACACTTTTCTGCCGCCAACCTTAGTTTCTCGGCATACTTATCATCGTATTTCGTGTGAAGACGTCGACTCCATACAAGGGTCGAAGTTCGAAGGAACCTAGTGTTGGAAAGTGTGTGTCGAGAGCAGCGCAAAGCAAGATGCATTGCGCTTGCACGTGACTGATCTCTGCAGTCCGCCGCACCGGCCCGACGATGCGAAACCAAATAACGCGAACGCGTGAGCTCAATTCGACTGGGGTTTCACGCGTCCTTTCCAGGAAGCTCAGAGACTCCGAGAGTAGACACCGGGAAAGTTATAGCCTATCCTACTTCCGACGTGTTGTTTCGGCCTCCTTGGGACGAGTAGGAAGCGATGAGCCGGCAGTCGCCTTGTGAGGGGCTCGACCCCTAACCTTAGTGAACGCCAGTATATCTTGCTTTGATCGCCATTTCGGGAAGGTAAACAAGTTGGATCGATAGACAGACGAACTTTGATGCTCAGAAGCAGATCTGGAGAGATTGAGGACAATGCCAACTATTCACTGACACCACCGTCAATAGAAGATGCGAATAGCCCTGCGCTCAGATCCAGAAGCCACCCAAGGATCTACCACATCAGATAGCGATCTTGATAGCGGACACCCACAAGTTTTCGACCATTCTCATCGAGGCGAATGTTTTCGTGGCACCGAATCGTATTCTAACAACCCGCTCTGGTACACATCGACGTAGATAGTACAACATCCGAAAGCAAGAGAGGAGAGCATGCAGGGTGGGAAAGATGATTAGGTGGTCGGCAGCTGATGTGGATTAGGGAGGGATTCATCGTGGCATACATCAGAGAGAGAATGAAATTCGTAAATTATCGTGAATATGCAGCCTATGGCGCAGAAACCTGGATTCTGGCATCTGCCAGTCGCTTGAAGAGGGGCATGACGTGAGCAGCGATGAGCCAGATCTGAGGGGATCCGTTTCAGAACGCAGTACGAGGGGACGAAAGCAGGCGTACGCACATTGTACCACCAGTAGGAGACTCGGTCCGCCTCCTGCGAGTAATCGCGGACATATCCTGCGGTGGTGTAGACGGCGAGCGCAAAGAAGACGACGGAAACCGCAGTCGGGGGGCCCCAGAGGTAGATCAATCCCGTCGTCCAGCCAAACATGAGAGCCATCAATGACCAGCGCGCAAACGTTTGCGGAAGCACATGCGCGAGCGTCTTCCGACCGATCGCAGCATCCCCGTCTCGGTCGCGGAAATCTTGGGCGTGTCCCTGCGGAATGAACAAATTGAGCACTCAGCCCAACGAGATCACACAGCACACACCGTGGTTGTGAAGATGAGGCCGCTGAGGACAACCGCGAGAATCGAAGTGTGCGACAGAGCCCGTCCTTGGTCTGGAGGGCGTTAGAAGGGTGGCAGCCACATATGCGCCGGCTCACCATAAATGATGGTCACCCCCCAACAGTAGGCGACGTATCCCAGAGAGCCGATGGCAGACTTGAGCACCCAGTAGTCTCCTAGCCCGCACTCATTATAGGCGTACATCGCACAGAGATGGAAGAGGCTCGGCGCGAGTGTGCCGGTGTAGACGCTGACGAGCAAGGACAACGCGATCAGCCCCGTATAGATCTTCTGCGCGGTCTGGATCGTTAGCCGGCCCGAGACCAGGGGCCTCCATGGCTTGGACAACTTGTCCTCTTCGAGGCCAATGATCTGGACGACAAGGGTCAGTAACCAAACGTCCGCGGTCGGCCTTGAGAGGGACACACCTGGTTCTGAATCTACGGCGACAGATCAGACATTGGCGCGAGCAGAAACCGGAGTGCCCTCACCTCGAATGCGATCAGGTGAAGCTCCTGCCATAACAGACCGCAGAAGAACGTCTTCAGGTCCGGCAGCCCGATGAGCACACACCCGACAACAACCTGCAGACGATTGGAGGGTGCATAGAGGTGAAAGCAATACCAGACGTACGACAGGGCCAATAGTCGAGATGATGTCGGCCTTATTGAAAAGATACGCGGTCTTGACAGCACTAACTATCGAAGAGAGCAGCATCTTGGCGCGACCAGGGCGGTGAAGAAATTATAGTACAGAGGATGGGGGGATTATATGGACAAACGAAACAAGGATCCCAAGCGAGGACTCGGCGCTTCTATATATTCCGGTCCCCGGCTGCTGCTTCATAATCTCTTTCCCGGCATTCGCATCGATTTCGGTGTACACCTCGAGAAAGACTTTTGATCATCTTTTCTTTACACGTCGGATAAGAAGAAGGGAGACATGGGAGCCCAGGTCCGTCAGGAGCTCGGCGCTGACGGCCTTACCCACCCTCGATTGAGAGCCAAGAGATGCTCCAACTTCCGAGAATAGCCTGAGCGCATCAACACGAGGCCTGCTAATGGTCAGGGCATCAGCCACTAGTCGGAAATCGACCCAATTGCATATGTTTCTGGGAAGGAACAAAGTGAATGCGGTACATGAGGCTCGCTGAGAGTGTATGCATCAGAAGGACCCGTCAGTCCCCGACATTCTACCAAGCATTCGAACATGCAACGTGTTCACGTCCAGCCTTGTATGTTATCGCAAGATGTTCCTTGCGTTAGCACCCATAACATCAGCGTCGGCTAAGGATGTTGGCAGATTGTGTGGAGAGAGTCTCCCGAGTTACTGCCGCGGAAGACGAAAGTGTGGAAGCAGGTCAAAGAGCGTACAAGCGGGCCCCTTCGAACAACGTTATCCTGTCCATGAGCAGTCACTGACTGACAGGCTCCATGGCATTTCTCCTCTCGCGCTCTGTCGCCCTCGACCCTGCTCAGTGCCCAAGGTCGACAGGAGGCTGAGCGGAATAGCGAAATTGGCACAGGGCGTGCGCAGCGATGGAATAATGAAGGACAATGAAGTGTGTGGCGGATGATCGGCAGCTGCGCAGACGATGATCCTTGATGGTGCATGTGATATCCACCTTGACCATCAAAATATAAGTGCTCATGTCTAGATCTCCTCAAGGTCCAGATTCCTGGAGATCGACTGAGTTTGTTGCCTTGAACTTCTAAAGCCTCCTTCTTTGAAAATTTCTTTTGACTTAATCCCCATTTATCGACGACTTGCGTCTATTTTTGCCACGGACGCCGGTATCATACAGCTCAGATGTGGTTTCCAAGAGCTCAAGACAGCTCATCAGCATCGCGAGCATGCCAGCGCAGACTAGCGCGAGCCGTCGGCTGACTGACGCTATCGGTCAGCTTGCGAGGTTTCTGCGGGCTCAATTCTCCACCAACTAATTCGGAGAGGATCTCCAAGATTTCATCTCAGAGCTCATTGATACGTCATCGACACGGGTAGGACGGTCGTCAGCCTCCCGGAACCGAGCTTTTGTCCTCGGACCTGTTATGGCTGGGTGTAACGATTCCGGACAGTAATAAGCTTTCTGCTTGCAGTAATAGTTCGCGCTCAATGCCCTCATGAAAGGCCAACCAGGGGGGATGTTTCGTGCGCTCTCTCCGGTGCTCGCATCAGCAATATTGTGAGAGATCGATTACGACATTCCCGGTAAGGGAGAATTGCTTGATCTTCGTAAGAGTGCTTCTCGATTGCCGTTCAACCTTCGCCCCAAAGATTCACTTTGTGCTCCTGCTGTCCTCTTATGACACTCGGGACCCGGTTTCGATCTTATGGAGACGACCCCCATCCACATGAGTTGTATATCCAGTACACACGGGTCCTCGTTGTCTGCTAAGTATTCTTGCATCAAAAACGACGAGATCTGATAAACGATTTGATCGATCATCAAACAAACCATCCCTAGCCGCCACTGTCACCGGCAGTAGAGGGTGACGGTCAGCGTCTACAAGTCTCTAAAAGTACTTTCTTCTCCTCCCTCAGTGGCTGCACAAGAACAACAAGCCACCCGAGATTATTGAAAAGCATCAGGCGCTCATGTCAGGTGCTGCGGGACGGTACAGTATCAGAGCCGCTGGCTGTCTTGTCATAGCATGAGAATAATCTACGAGATGGTCAATTCCACAGCTCTGAACAGACCAACACGATGTCTCTCCTTGAACTAGTGCTCGTCGGCGGTGAGCCCGCTCGCGCGTATGATCTCCTACCATCCACAGTCTTCTCCGCCGCCTACGCTCTCCTCGTGCCCTTCACGCTCTCCCGCTACGCTTTCAAGCGCTCCCGTTCCACGATTCAGAGCAGCCTGTTCTTATTCGCACTCGAAAGGCAAGTGCAGTGGTGCCGCTCGCTCGCGTTGATGTTCGCTGACACGCTGGATACACAGATCGATGCTGTTTGCCTTCCGCGCTGCACTATGCGTCCATCCCGAGAGCGTCAATCGCGACTCGTTGAATGAATATACCCAGATCTCCTTTGTGCTGGGATACCTCAGCTTGCCCGACTCCCTGATAGGAGTGATCCGTACTGTGCTCGTCAATGCGACTAGGCCGCCGCCAAAACACGGCGCTGGATCCCCGCCACACGTCCCTCCCAAACTCACCTCCGCCAATGCCTCTGGATGGAAGGGCTCAAGGGACACTGCTCCCACGGACCGCGCGACGCTCCGTTTTTGGTTCCGCCGTTGGTCGAACGTTTTGACTGTCGTCTTCTGCGCCAGTCTCCTCATCTCAGCAATGGCAGGAAAGTGCGCGGCCAGCCAGACTCCTCGGTACTTAAGGTGAGTCTCCTCTTGGTACTCCTCGCGCACTTGTCACCGTGTGTCTGCAGATACGCCAGCACCGTCTCCTCGCTCGTGATCGTCTTCTCAGAGCAGGCGATCTTACTCTGGGCCGCTTGGAAGGTCCCCCGCGTTGACCTGCGCGCAGTACGATATCTGTCGACGTTGGTTGCGATTTTGGTACCCCGTCTACTGTATATCAAGTCAAGTGGATTACTAAACGCATGCCCCAGTGGTCTCCCACTATATACCGTGTGGCCGTCCTGTCCTCAGCCGCGGACCAGAACAGCGCAAGCGCGAAGGCGGCCTTCTACATCTTTCAAGTCATGGCCGAGTGGTCGGTGGCTTGCGTTCTCTGCGTGTCAGATGTCAGGCAGATTTGCAATCTCGGATTACAGGGCGATGTTCGCTTTTGGGACGAAACGCCGGCCGCAAAAGTCACAGGGCTTACTTAGCAAAGAGAAGTAAGCGCAGGATATGGAACTGCAAACTAGAACATGACATTTGTATTGGTCTGCATAGTGTACTCTCAGATAAAAAAGACGAAACGTATCATATCATTACATGTACAACACAAACACGGGCACTCTAGATGAGGTCGCTGGAAGAAACATCAGACATTGGACATACGTTGAGCTCGAACAATCAACACTTACGCAACGTTGAGGGGCATCTCGTCGATCTGAGTGTTGTAGAACTCTGTGACACAATTAGCGACGGGATAAGATGACAGAAACAAAGCCACGCACGCTCGATGTCGCGAAGCATGTTGACGTCGTTGACAGTGACGAAGTTGATGGCAACACCCTTACGACCGAAACGACCGCCACGACCGATACGGTGGATGTAGTTTTCACGGTTGGTAGGCAGGTCGTAGTTGATGACGAGCGAGACTTGCTGTACATCGATACCACGAGCGAGAAGGTCCGTGGTGATCAGTACACGGGTGGATCCTGTGCGGAATTCCTTCATCAGCACCTCGCGCTGTTTTTGGTCCATGTCGCCGTGCTGTTTAATGTCAGAATAAGCCGAAACCATGACAATAGACGCAGACACACCATGGCAGAAACCGTGAACTCCCGGGCGTGCATCTGCTCAGTGAGCATATCCACCTTTCTCCGCGTGTTACAGAAAATGACGGCCTGCGTGATCGTAATGGTTTCGTAAAGATCGCAAAGCGTGTCGAGTTTCCAGTCCTCCTTCTCCACAGCAATATAGAACTGCTTGATACCCTCGAGCGTCAACTCGTCTCGCTTAACGAGGATGCGGACCGGGTCACGCATGAACTTCTTCGAAACTTCCAACACCTCGGCGGGCATCGTGGCCGAAAATAGAGCGACCTGGGTGTCACTGGGCAGGAGCTGGAAGACCTCGTAGATCTGGTCTTTGAAACCCTGAGACAACATCTCGTCGGCCTCGTCGAGACACATGATTTTGATACCATCGGTGCGCAGAGCCCCACGTTTGATCATATCAAACGCACGGCCAGGCGTGCCGACGACGATTTGGACACCCTCCTTGAGCTTGGCCATGTCCTCACGGACGTTGGTTCCACCAACACAGGCCAGACTCTGGATGTTCATATAGTCGCCCAGGGCGACGACGACCTTGTGGATCTGGAGAGCAAGCTCACGGGTGGGAGCGAGGATGATCGCTTGGGTGCCTTTGAATTCGGGATCCAGCCTCTGCAAGATCGAAATAGAGAAGGTGGCGGTCTTGCCAGTACCGGACTGGGCTTGCGCGATGGCATCGTGGCCCTTCACGACGGGGACGATGGCACGCTGCTGGATAGCGGACGGGCGTTCGAAACTATTCGTCGATCCTCTATCAGTGCTGATCGGAGAGGACGAGTCTGTCGGTGCTCACCCGTAAGCGTAGATACCACGGAGAAGCTCAGGCTTCAGTTCCATGTTATCGAAGCTGAGCACGCGATTGTAAGCTACAAGCCATGGGAAACAGATCGCGGAGCGTACCTATCGACGACTTGGTCCCAGTTGGACTCGATCTCGTTTGCGTTGACATCTTGAAGTTCTTCTCTGTGGGCCGCGAGCGTTTGAGTGCTGAGCACAAAACGATAGAGGCCGATGAACGCACGCTGACATGCAATTGTCCTAATTGAAGGGGAGGTAACCTGCCTTCTGCGTTTGTTGGGGTGGTTGAGGGTGTGAGAGCTGTGTAGACGACCGTACGGTACGACTAGGGTTAAGAGAAAAAGATTTGTTTGGTCATCTACGCTATTTGGCAGGGTGACGTGACTCGATGTGACTAAATGGGCTTGATGTCTCATACGACTCGACACTCGGGACCGCCGCCACCACTTGTTCCGTTGTCCATCCGCCGAAAATGTATTCCCATCCTGGATTCATTGAAAATTCCAAGATGCGATACCAGTTGTTAGGCGAATTGGTTCATAAAGTACAGTGCTTAGGCTTATTGAGTACGTCCCGTCACCCGTCTACCTGCGTGCATGCTTTTCCAAATCCTCTTTCGCCTCACGTACGCCGGCAGCGGTCTGTTGGAATGGTCAGGGGTCCTGTACAACCTCGAGAGCACACAATCGGTTCACCTCGTTCTTCTTATGCTCAGCTGCAGCCGCAGTTTCCCGTGCCTTCTTCTTACCCTCCTCTGTTGCAGAATCTGGATACATAGACTGAGAACTCAATACCCTTCGTAAGCGCGTGACGGCCCACCTATCGTCTCTTTTGTTGCGGCGGCTGCTTCTTGACCTTTTCCTATGGCATCGGCCAAGCCCTTGCCGACTTTCTTGTTGACCTGGAACGCGTGTCAGACGCGATAGATTCAAGACCTAGTTGAGACATACGTTGTCAGCTACTTCGGCGACCTTCTCAGTGACCGTTTTCTGAGCGATGGGGCTGGCGTGGAAACCCCGAGAGTAAGCGATGGATGTGCGGGCAATGGTAGTGCGGAACATGTTGAGTATGAATATTAGACCCAGTCCCTACTCGGGCGGTTTCTTATATGCAGTCTCAAAAGCGATGACCTCGTCTGTGCGTCATACCCGTATGAGGTGGCATCACGTGGTCGTCGTGTCTACGGAGGACTGACGCGCCTGCCATCATCGTTTCTTTCCGCAACCCCAACGTCTCTGCTTCTTTTCACCGTAATGTCTCCAATCAACAATATTCGTGCTATACCCACCTTCATTGTACGTTAAGTTCAGGTTCTAACCTCGTCATAACCGCATATTGAATACGCGAGAATAGCCTCAGGATTCTTTCTCTTGCCCGACATCACGCACGCTTGGGAAAGCTCGCCCCGCAAGAGTCTTCCTTCACCAAGGCGATATCTTTGACCTTGATCATACCACGTTCACTTTCCCTGCTCGCTCTCCTGCAATCTCGCCTGATTACGAATCTCGTCCACTGTCTCCCGTCTCAGACTGCTCATCCGATACATCCGACGAACTGCCACCTATGTCAACTTTCACGAAAGGATTCGGGCGCGCACGCCACTCTGTCTGTCTGGGCCGCTCTGGTAACGAACTTGGTCAATCCTCAGTCGTCGGATTCGGTCGTAGGCAACACTTTCATCGGCATTCTATCGCCGGCCCACCCGCTGTCGCTCCAAGTGATTTCCCTCGCAAGACGCACGCAAAACGACCTCTTTCTGTTGCTCAAGAGCATGGTGACATGAAGGGTCGCTCCGATCGCCCGCAAATGAGGATGTCTCTCGATCTCGGACGTCCAATTCAAACCGAAAACGTCGCTCAGCGGCCTTTATCAATCTTGGGAACAGCGCTCAGCACTGGCGGTACCTCGAGCGGGGTCCCGCCCAGGGCCCTTCTACTTCCTCAATACATCCAAATGGCATCTGAGACTGCGGTAGCTGAGGAGTCTGAAACCGAGCACCCGCGCTCTGTGACCTATCGCTTGCGACTCAAGGTACTGAAACTGGGACTACTGTTCATCGAAGAAATGTTTGAGACAGATGAGAATCTTACGGTGGATGTGTTGGTCGATCGCTTCAAGAACATGGTCCGTCGGCGTGTTCATAACATTGTAGGACTGTGAGCAAATTCTTCCCTCCATCTCAACACACTCCAGCAATCTCTCGTTCGCCCTTACTACCTAGTCTCCCCGCACTGTACATAATATCTGGTCTCATCCCGATGGTAGCTTCTTACAGTAGGCCTTCAACAATGGAAGGGTGTCAGTATCTGTGCCCTCAGATGAATAGCTCAACGAGCAGTGTTCTGATGCGCTTGATGCGCTGGTGACGAAAGCTACTTTCTGGGGTTCGCTCAGGAATATCAAGATCCCACAAGCATCCGCTGCAGCAGATCTGCCTTGAGATCCCATCCCCCAGAAAAGTGCGAGGTCTGCCGTCCGTCTGTCGCGAATCACCCGGGGCTTCGGTTCGTTGGAGCATCGAAGCCCGTGCCAGCAAACTCTAGTGCACTGCCGCTCCCCCGGAACTTGCTCGCCCGAAACATGCGCTGGACATGACTCTGCAACGTGTTTTCTGCGAGGATTTGCGGTTTTAAAGCCTCTGCCAACCTCCAAGCGAATCTGGAAGCTGCAACGTACAACTCGTTCTCTCTCTCACACTCACTGCACCACTAGCCGAGCGTCGCTGTGATGCCTGTTCTCGACGCATTCAAGATCAAGCCGTTCGACCTGGAGCCCGTCTATGCGGCCTGGACACCCGGCCCGACGTTCACAGGCGACCCGAAGAAGGATGCGCCCGTCGACGACTGGCTCCAGCAAGTCAAGGAAGGGTGTATCAGCCATGGGGTTCCGCAGGAATATTGGCATACGTGAGCCGATCCTCCATCCCATCTCTGCTGCTGAACCGGGTGATTTACACACATACAGCTGCGGACAGCATTTCATGGGCGACAAGGCCAGGGCGAGGTGAGCAGTCCCGCCGTCGACGATACAGCGCGCTGAATGAGGCTACCAGATTGACTGAGCTGAAGAAAGTCATGGCTCAGGTGCATGGCGGCCAGTACCGCTGGAATTGGAAGAAGTTCAAGGTCGCAATGCGCAACATGTCTTGTGAGTGGGTCCTTAGGGAGGCAAAGCAAAGCCCGAGACTGAACGACTGGACACAGGGGACATCGACACAAGCGAGACAGAGACGGTCAAAGTGCGTGGGAGCTGGTGGTCCCGCAAGACACCCAAGGTGGATGAGGCGGCAAATCCAGAAGCCTTCGTTCTGTGCGAAGAGCCAATGCCCATGCTGGGCCGCAGCGACACAAAGCTGTCCGAGGCGGGCAGCAGCGAGTCCCGGCCTACTCCGAGCCGGTCATCAACACTCTCCTTCTGGCCGATCCGCAAGCAGTCCAAGGACATGTCCACAGACGAGACTCTGCAGCGGCCTACACCAAGAAAGGTGCAGTCGGACGATGCAGTGGTTTCAGTCAGCGGAAGCAAGCGGAGCAACACGCTCGCCATGACCAGCACGAACAAAGACCTCCCCGCCGTCCCGAAACCCGGCGCTGAAGGCAAGTGAATCAACTCTTGTTCCACACTTGCATCTAATCTCGCTTTAGAAGTGGCGACTGTCAGGGCTCCGGCCTGGCTGCTGAATGCAACGACAGCTCTCGACTTTCTGTCCGGCGAACACCCCAAAGTCATGAGCACCATCAGCGCCATCCTGATCGTGGCTGGCACCATCCCATCGCTGCCCGTTATCACCGCTGGAGCTGGAGGCGCAATCTTGGCGTCGTCGACGGCCCATGCCGTGGGTGCGATCGCAGTCGGTTTGGGCAGTTGGATCAAGACGCAACAGGAAGCGACAGCCTCCAAATCCCACTCCACCGCATAAGTTATTCGGGACTTTGTTGTAGATCAGCCATTTGTATTATTGACCGTCTTGGGGGAACCAGCGGCCCTCGAGGGCGGGTACCTCTTGGACGCCTGTGAAGTCCTGTTCTTCGCTCGACGAACTGATGAACAGTCCCCCGGTGCGGTCCACGGCATCCAGCGGGATTTCAATTTGGGAGCATATCCGGACAAAGTCGTCGGGAAGAGGTGCGACGACTTGAATTTTCAAGCGACGCGGGCTGTATCTCTGGGAAGAGTTAGTGCTGAGGCGATTCTGATTCGATAGCACGCACGAAAAGTGATATGCGCGACGCATGCAAGAGAATGCGAGAGTCTTGCAAATCCCCCATTACACTTGATTGTATCTCTTGGGTAGGTGGACTCTGAGAGTACAATGTGTCTCCCAAGATGGGGGCTAAGAGCATGATTGAGATCCCGCGTGCATCCACGACATCAGCTACCTTTCAGAGCATGAGCCAGATGGACCCGCAGCTGATGTTTATGGCCAGTGTGAAGCTGGAGACGAAGAAGAGTGAGAGGCAGTCGCGGCTACAGCATATGAAGATGAGCAGGCAGCAGATAGTGAGTTACGCTATACGTACTGATGAAGCGACCACCTCCCACTCAGTGCGCGACTCCCGCTCACCAGAGCCTTGCGATCCCAAGCGCATCCGGCCGTCCTCGGACACAAGAGGTGCACTGATCTCTCCTCTGGTCCCAGGAAAACTCCTGCTCCCGCCGCGTACGAGCGCGAGATACGTTTTGTCTACGAGCCGCCGGCGGAACTGCGTCAAAAGATCCCGCGCCGCGGCACTCGAAGTACCGAGTAAGAGACAGCCCGTCGTACCCTGCTAATCGTGTTGGCTCTTGCAAAGTACGCATAGAGGATCATACTGACCTTGTCGAGACGGTGCACAGGGAACGGTGTATTCGCGAGGTTCAAGTCGCGTTTCACAGCTGAAGGATATGTTTGAAACAAGACACTCGGAAAAATGAATAGAAGAACCATTGAGGACACCTGCAAGGTCGCAACCCCTGGAGCTCTGTGCAGGCAATGAGTTTGGACATAAAAGCCAGAAGTAACTGCGTACCTCCAATTGGGCAACCAGGCCGGGTGCTTTGTTGAGTACTATGAGTTTTTTATCGGCGTATAATATCTTCGTGGGCCATCGCGCAATTGCGTGGCGAGGTGGACCAGGAAGCATTCAAAGCATGGAACGGTCACGTGCTTGACGCATTGATGGAAGCCCGACTACTGTTGTCTTGGACCGAGTAAATATGTTTTCTGAAACAAAGACTAGACGCGACAAACTACACTCAAGGTTATTTCATGGCTTTGGTCGACAATTCCTTGTCCATCGAAGGGATCCCGCAAAAATCCCGCACACTAATCCCTCCAGCCGCATGCTAGTCTCACACTCTTCATATTACTCCACCAGAGCGCATGGACAATCCGAGGAATCCATCAGGAGCACACGACATGAAAAATTGAAGCGCAAACGTCTTGATATACGGTCGGCCCAGACGATGTAGCTATGCTACGATGAGAACGGGTCGGGGATGTCGTCGTTGCTCAAAATCGTCGGATCTCCGTGACGAACTTCGATATAGTGCGCTGGGAAGAACGTATCGAGGACATAGAATCAGTGTGAGACGAGTGGAATCAAACACGGAATGTTCCAAGACAGCAGGAAAGATAAAGGTGAGAGCGAACAGTCTGCCCTTTGAGAACATAGCAGCAGACGCGTCGGCTTTTCGGACTTTGAAAATGATCGACGACCTGTGATATTCATGATTGAACGTGGCTCGCTTCCACCCACTGTAGAAGACTGATCCGAGTCTCCTCCAAGTGACAATGTTCAGAGTCACCTACTCTAGATGTGCGGTCGTATTCTCCGTTCAAACTCAGACTAGGTGGCTTGCTACTGAGATGAACGCGCATCTGATCGATTCCAATGATAGGGCGACACATGTGACAAAGACCTGCTTCATACGGTACAACAAAAGCAGCAAGTAATACAGAAAATAACATAGGCGGTGGTACAAGTTCGTCAGTGAAGGAGGGTCGATGGAGAGTCATCATAGTTGGAAAACGGAGGGGCCATAGAAGGACTGCGACTCAATGAGAGAATCGGTAAACGGGTTCGTAAAGTTCATCGCGGTGTTGATCGGGGGCAATGCAAACACAGATTGGCGCTCATCCAACTCCCCGTTGAATGCATCCAAGAATGGCTCCGGGGTAAACCACATCGCGTTCGTCTGTGTGTCGATCGGAACTTCGTACTTGAAGAACTGAGGAGTCGGCTCCTGGTACGATAGGAAGTGGGCAGGAGTGTTGGAATCGTAGCCAGAAGGTGAAATAGCCGCCTTCTATCGGGGGAATCAGTCAAATGAACTCCAGAAGGCCAAACATAACGCACCGAGTCGTCGAAGCTGCTGTAGTACACATGAGGCTCAAGGTTGAGTTCCGGGATGTCAGCGGTGGGCACGAATTCCTCCACGATGTCATCCTCTTCAGGAGTGCGGGGTGGGAGCTCTGGAGACCCCGTGCTGCCGTCCAGAGAAAGCTCGGGTGTCGGTCGAGCGCTGAGCACCGATGAGACCGTCGCTGGCGGGGTGCTGCAAAGCCTCGCCGGCGTCGCGACAACGTCGGACCGCTTGCGCTTGGAAGCGCGCGTTCGAGATGCATGCTCGCTGTAGTCGTCGTCGCTATCTCCCGCAGACGCCTTGCGTTTCTTCGACTTGTTCGGCGCGGTGCCGGAGACGCTGACGCTGCCGCCAGCGCGGGGGGCGGGCGTGTAAGTGTAGGAAGGGTACTTGAGCGCATGCTCCTTCTTCTTCTGCGCGGCGACTGCAATGAAATGCGCTCGAGTAACGTCGTCCGCAACATTCCACATCGCGGCGGCGTCGCGCGAGACCTGTCGGTGGTTCCGAGTGCCACCGCCCGGCAGCCGCTTGTTCTTCGCACAGTACGCAGAGCGGAAGCAGATGAAGGCGTTCGGGGGACGCGGTGGGTTGTTTGAAGCCCGCCGACGCGATTTTGCACTCTCGACAGCCAGCTCCGAGTCGGAGTCGGGATACTGCAGCTCGCCCATCGCCTCGAAGTCAGGATCCTTTTCCTCTACGGGGCAGTTGAGAATCGATCATTCCGCTGGAAGGGAACACTTACCATGCTTGACTAATACGTTCTCCTGCACAGCAGAAGACGGTCTCCTACGAGATCGATGGGATACGCTATAGTCGACGGGCATGATCGTGTGGCAGCGGACGGGAGGAGGAGTGCAAGGGGGAGAGCAGAGGAGGGATCGGGAGCGACTGTGGCATTTTGCTCCCACCCAAAGTGCTCTTTTTCAGTTCGAGCTTTGCGAAGCTAGACAGTCGAACATTGGACATTCGCCCTTGCTAACAGCACATCGTGTCGGCCTCGTGGTTGACCCTTTGTCTTATCACATTCCCAACAGTGTATGTCGATGGAAACAAACGGCCATATCTCATGTTGCTGATTGTAAATCGGTCTGTAACAGGCATTTCTCAGCCTCGTGTTGATGTTCCAATGTTACCTCCCTCCACGATAGGTCTGTATTCGAGGGGAAAACCCCATTGTGTCGGCCAGTAACGAGTGGATGGCGCCCATGCAATCAAGGCAGAAGGACACAAGTAAGCAGGGAAGCTCGGATAATCAAAGCGGGAGTCAAACGACAAAGGGATCAAGCAAAGCTCATTGACAGGTCATTGACAGGCGGAAGCAAAAAGGGCCCTTTGACGGAGATATTTGACAGCACGCAAGCGATCTGGGAAGGTAATCTAATCTTTGTGCTGACAAGGTGCGATGACAATATCGATGAAGTCGCCACGGACATGACAAGGGAATCCATCTGTGAGATCGATACGAACGAGCAAGTCTACTATACCGCGCTGTCTGCCGATTCTACCCGATCAACATCCTTCTCTCGCCTTCGCTTTGATCCAGCGATCATATCCCTGTTTGGACGTCAGCATCAGGCTGCCGATGGGTCGAACACACAAACCTCATTTTGATCGCGTCTCTCCTACCGATCTTGCGGTGGGGATTGACGAACTCCGTCCTCTTGACCTTGCCCATCTGTTTCCGCTTCATCTTCGACGGCTTAGGAAGCTTGGTAATCCATTCCGGCACTTGAGATCCGGATTGGAGGAGGACATTCGCAATGCTGTGCTGTGATTGGAGACATCCACCACCGGAAAGTCCAATCAAACTCACGCTTTGAGATACGGGGCATCAGCGTCCGTAAAGTATGTCACGGCCTTGCCCTCCCGACCTGCACGACCGGTTCGCCCAATCCGATGCACATAGCTCTGCACGCTCGTAGGGAAGTCATAGTTGATGACTTCTCGAATTCCTGTGCGGGAGGACTTGAGTCACATCGAAGAGCAAGGATGAAGGCGTAACGGACCCTTGAAATCCATACCACGAGCCATAACTTCCGTGCTGACCAAGATCCAGCTCTCTCCTCGCCGCATTCGGCTAACAGTCTCCTCACGCTCCTTCTGACTCATTCCTGCGTGCAGGCAGTCTACGTTCGACACACCAGCAAGGACGAGCTCCTGCGCGAGAGAGCTTGCACGTGGTTGGGACGATGTGAAAATGAGCACTGGTGGATTGTATGGCTGCTTGAGATAGGACAGCAGACTAGGCAGTTTGGACGGATCGTCCGCCACGTATGTCAGGGACTGGGAAATGAGCGGTAAAGGGGTGTCCCTGGAACGAGAACTGGTTAGGGATCCAATGAAAGGAAGAAAACAGGGAACTTGCTTCAGTCCGACCACCACCCTGATTGGATTTTGCATCATTTTGAGCGCCATGTTCTCGGCGGACGCAGGTAATGTGGCACTGAATACGGCCTTCTGAACTTTTGGGTGTGTGCATGATGCTACAATCTCTTCGACTTGGGGTAGGAACTCGGCGTCCAACATGCGATCTGCCTCGTCCAGAACCAGATGTCGTACACTGGCGGCGAATCAATTACGACCGAAGTGAGTGATCGGCGCCACGTACTTTCCCAGATCGATTCCCCTTGACTTGAGCGACGCGACCAGCCTCAGTGGTGTGCTGATGATGATGTCTGAAGACTGTCAGCGTCTGCCCGCTAGCAAGTCCACAACACTCACCAACTTTGTCCCTCGCATCCTTTTCCTTTAATGTGCTCGCAGTTGCTTTAGAGAAAAGAATGATGCGCCACTTCCGGCCCTGTGCCAATTTGAGGCATTCGTTGTAGATCTGGTGAGCCAACTCTTTCGTCGGAGCTAACACGACCGCGCGGACACCCAATCCGGAGTCACTGGATGAACTCGACGACGGCACACCGAGGGAGCACATGATAGGGAGGAGGTATGCGAGTGTTTTTCCGGTACCGGTGGGTGAGATGGCGGCGAGGTCCCGAGACTGGAAGGCATATATCAGGGTGACCACACGGAACAGAATGTAGGTGGGTACACGTACCTCGAGAAGAATGGGAATTCCGTGCGATTGAATACCAGTAGGTTCTATGTAGCCGTATTGATTGAGATTGGCAAGCAGGAGCGAAGACATCTTGTATCGTTCGACCAAGGCAGTGAACGAATCTACAGCGGTCGGGACATCGGAACCCTTGGCGACAATGCGTTGTTTTGGTTTCGAGGGTCCAGCCTTGTTTGCAGCGATGTCATCTGCAGCGTCCTCTTCCTCCTCTTCCTCTTCTCCCGAGTCTTGGACATCCGTTTCAAGGTCACTGTCCTTTCTCCTTTTCTTGTTCGATTTGGCGGACCCTCCTTCTGCCTTACGCTTTCCCGTTCCACCCGGTGCATATTTGAAGAAATCTAATTCCTTCGGGAGCTCTCCGGCGCGTAGGGTGGTAGAAGCAGTAGTCGGTTTTGCAGAATCTTTCTAGTCGGACGATCAGAACTATGCCCGGCGAGCTGATCAGAGAATTGGATTACAGAGAATAGCTGGAGGTCATTCTGAAACCTCTTTTTGTCGAAGCGCGCGCCACCCCGAGAGAGCAGCTGAAAAGCCTCCATCCGCCAAAAAAAGTAGCTGTAGACGAGATGAAGTCACCGCCACTCTGATGACAGCGGGGCTTGCCGACGATGACTCCACGTGTCAGCGTGATCACTTGGACTGTCCCGACGACGATCATCTTATCTCTATGCTGAGGGCGCTGGATCACGGAAAAGGCGCTCCGCATGCTCACGAAGCGAACTCTGCCTTGGGTATCATCGAGAATAAAACCTCCGTGGACCTTCTGTCCGTTGACATCACCTGGTACAAAAGGCTACCACGGGCCGCCGACACGGGATTCCTGCACGACGTTCGTCATCTGCTGATCCCAAAATGCTTAAATAGACGGTTGCGCTTGTCGGCTTCTCGTATTCGAACTCTCTGCCATGAGGTTTTTCTCTCTCCTCGCGTGCGTCGTCGCGGCCAAGGCGGTCCTCATCGTTCCCGGAGCTGTGTGGACTGACACACAAGGCAACACGATCCAAGCTCATGGAGCCGGGATTTTGAAAGTGCGCTATACTCCTCAGGCTCTATCGTATGTTATCGAGCCCCATGTGTGCTGCAGGTGGGATCGACGTTCTATTGGTTCGGAGAAGACAAGGCTGCGAACAGCGCTCTGTTCAGCGCAGTAAGCTCGGAGGCATGCCGTTCTTTCTCCCGAGCACTCAATATCCTGTAGGTCAGCTGCTACTCTTCCACGGATCTGGGCACTTGGACCCGTCACAATAATGCGCTCACGCCGATCGCCGGGTCGATGATCTCGAACAACAGCATCGTGGAGCGTCCCAAG